ATTAATTAAATAATGATATTGACATGACAAATAAATTTTTTGAAAAATGTTAATATCTTTAAATAAAAAAATTAAAAATTGATATATTTAAATAAAAAATGTTAAAAGTTAACATATTTAAATAGAAATAATTAAAAATTAATATTTTTATTTAAAAATTAATAAAATTAACATTTTTAAATAAAAAATATAAAGTTAGTATATTTATTTGCATCATTTCTCTCCGCCCATGAGCACAATCTAAGGGATTGGGGCAGGTGTTTCTATTACAGTAACTTCTTTTGAGAAAACTACAATCATATAGTTTTTTTTTTTTTTTTTATTAAATTGCACAATAAGAAATAATTTTCTCTTATCTCTTAATCCACCACGTTTACATGCCATATGAATCAAATTCAAAACCTTTTACTTCTAATAAAGAAAGATTATTACTGAATTATTTAAATAAGTAATACCGAACAGATTCTTTAATACTAGAGGAAACAAGTAAATGTAAGGTTTATTCTTTTTTTATTTTTAACAAGTCTACTTAGAATTGTAATACAGCTTGAGCTACATTTTATGCAAGATCAAATGAGCTCCATGCTGTGGACGAAGAGTTAGAGAAGGGGCAGGAGCATGGGCATAGGAAGGGGAAAGTTCAAACCAAAAGCGTTGTAGAATCATTGTGATGGCCAATTTTGCCACATTTAAAGCAAAGTTTTGTCCCATGCATATTCTAGGACCCCATCCAAAGGGAAGATAAGAGACTTGATATTTCGTCGCCTTTGAAACTCCTTCAGCAAACCTTTCTGGTTTAAAATCCTTGGCATCATCTCCCCAAAATTCAGGATCATGGTGTACAAGAGTTGTTGGCATGGCAAGTTGAACCCCAGCAGGTAGCGTCAAATTTCCTAGCTTTGTTTCCTTCTGTGTAGACCGAGTAAGTATAATCCCTGGTGGATAGAGTCTGAGAACCTCATACAAAATTATGGTTACCTGTGAAAATTAGAAGTTTTAAAGTGACTATGAAATAAAATCACTAGTTTGAATGATTGAACTAAGTAACCAACAAAGCATTGATACAATTTGGTGCACAGGCTATCAACCTATGAATACATCATTGTAGTTAGCTTCCCATAAATAGAGAATGGGTTGCCCCTACTACAAGGAGGGCAAACAAATGAGATGAATCATAGCTAACATATACTTAAATTCAGAGGCAGACATTCATACGGTTAGGAAAAGACATGCTAATGAATAAGGATACAAGAATTTCATTATTTAAAAAAACAAAGTCGTGATGCTTACAACTTTCAAGCGATTCAAGCTGTCGAAATCTGGTTTGTTGTTGCCGAAGATAGATAATACCTCTTCTCTTGCACGAGATTGCCAATTTTGGTGTTGTGCCAATAGAACCATTGTCCAACTGAGGGTATTGGAAGTGGTCTCTTGTCCGGCGAAGTAAAATACCTTACACTCTTCAATCACGTCATCCATGCTCATTCCAACAGTCTTATTTCCTCCGTGTTCTTCAATTTCTCTAAGATTTGAATCCAAAAGAATACCCAACAAGTCATCATTGGCTGCCTCACCGGCTTTCATTGCGTTCTCTCTTTTGTGGATGAGACCTTTTATTATGGCCCTTACTTCCCTTTCAACTTCCTTCATCCTATTGTTTATCTTGGTTGGGAGAAACCTTCATATAAACAAATGTTAACTATCAATTGCATAATTAGCATTTTAGCTCAAAAAATTGATAGTAATTAATAATGGTTAAATTAGGTAAGTAGGAATCGAACTTCTAATTAAATTTATGTCACTTAATTTAAAAATTTTTATATAAATTAAAAAAATCCAAATCACTAGTTTATTTTTT